AGGAACGTTTCATATCACACACAGTGAAATATTAATTTGTTATCATTTGAAAATGTTATTTTGCATATACCCAAATGTAACATATACATTGTTACAGCAGAAATTTACGGGAATTACGATAAAATTGTAAATGTCTTTAATAATATGCAATTTTAATTTTGTCTACATGTTTTGAAAAATGTATAAAATATGTGTATGTACCAACTAGAATACCATTATATGTATATACACATGGATTGTCGCGTAACGAATATGTCCGTAATAGTATTTACATAATATTCCAAAATTGTATAAGATCAAACTTTTCGATGAAACTATTGATAAATTTCAGAAAACGCAAAGGTTAAATTAATTGTTACGCGACAATAACTGCATCTTACAGGTATGCGTATACATATGGTATCTATAGTAATAAGATTTGTATGCATGTATATACATACACAAATATTACATATTTAGCTATACTCAAAAATGTATCTCTATATAAAAAGAAAATACATATATAATTGATAAACATATATTGCAAAAAGGAAAGCAAAAGGCTGTATGTTATATGTGATTTCATATCATAAGCACTTGTAAGCAATGGTGTATTTAATGACATATTGTACATACAAAATAAGACACGGCACGTACGTGCAACAGAAAAAAAAAGAAGGATAATTATAACGAATGTCTCTACTTTGCACGTACATATGTACATATAAGTTGTGCCATTGTGCGATTGCGATTGCGATTGCGATTGCGAGATACGATACATGGGATGTGGTGAGACCCGAAAGAATTCAAGTTAGAATTTAGAACGTTAGAAATAGCAAACAGCAGGAAATGTCTCCTGTGTGCTACTGTCTTCCTGTCTGTAAATTCCACACAACGAATACAATGTGTATGTAGCTTGAAAGTGGTTTCGAATTTTCATCGCACGTCGAACGTAATTGTAACCCTTTTAAACAACATTCAACATAACCAAAAACACAATGAAAAGGTTTCATAGAGACTGAGTAAGAAAAGGTGGAGATATTTGTGCATTAAGTGACATGAATTGAGTGAAATGTATATTTTAATGTATATTTGGAACAGTCGTAAGGAATGGCCGAAAAGGAGGCAAAGATTGAATATGTGACAGAACCTTGTCCAATAAAACCTCGTAAAATAGGACCACAAAACATTGTTGTTCGTTTGAAACGTCGCGAAACATTTGGTTGTCCTTACCCAGGAACACATGTACACAATGCCAGACAATTTTATCAAAACGTATTTCCAAATTTTACTATTATGAATGTAGAAAAACCACCTTGTTTTCTTAGAAAATTTAGCCCCGATGGACGTTATTTAATAGCTTTTAGTGCTGATCAAACTTCTATAGAAGTTTATGAATATCGTGGTGCATCCGCAGCTGCTGATTTGTTAGCAAATTGCGAAGGTGAATACATCGGTCATAAGAACGATGAGTACAGTTTTCAAATTAGAAGCAATATTTTTAATCGATTCTTCAAGGTACGTTGCATATTAGATCCTAGTTCTCTATTAGAATTTTCATATAACTTGTAAGCAATCGTTGTTTTAATAATCATTTACTATAATATTTCTAGACAAAATGGATCGTAAACGTAGTTCAAAGTAACGAACAATTAAACAGAGAATGCAGTTTATTTACGGACGATGGTCGATATGTAATTGTGGGTTCCGCTGCTCACATCCCGGATGAATTAAGGCCCCATTTTTACCAGGTAAGTCACTCCCTTCACTTTTTCTTTTTCTCGTAATTAAAGAACCAATTGCTGAAACGCGAATGATCAAAAATTGTTGATTCAAGATTTACTCCAACAATGAAGCGCTAACTCCAAATCCTAGATCGCCGCTCGAAGATTATAGTTTACATCTTGTTGATTTACGCGGGGGAAAGTTATGTGATACTAGACATTTTAAAGTAGACAAAATATACTTATCACACAATCAAGGTATAGATCTCTGATTAAGTAGTAGTAGAAAATTCTATGCTCAAAGTATTTAATAAATCAACTGATAGGAATACATTTTATTTTATAGGTCTTTATTTGTATAAAGATATATTAGCAGTTTTATCGGTACAACATCAAACTATTCACATATTTCAAATTCTCGATGGAATGTTCATAAATGTCAGGACAATAGGAAGGTATTGTATACGATGTCTTTCAATGACTGCTGGTAGATACAATAATTTCACTGTATCCTTACAAGTTGTTTTTAATTTACAACAGATTCTGTTTAGAAGATGATGCATATTTGGTTACAAGTGCTTGTCCAGGAGTAAATTGCCGTCCATTTAGAGACATTACAATAAACAGTCTCAAACACAAGTTATTGGTTTATCTATACAAAAGAGCGGCATACATTAGCGACACAACAAAAGATCCTTACGAATTGAGACGTTTTTATCAATATTTCGATCAGGTATCCTATCAAATTTTCAAATAGCATACTACATTCGCTGTAAAGACAGGATGTGCATATGAGAGTAAAACTCTCAAGAATTGCTCTGTAGGCTTGAGCTGCTCTGGAAACACATCTCGGAGAGCTACTCTGACGATACGAATCCGGTTCGTATTATGATTATGAGAGTAGTTCTCCGCGAGTCGCGTTGTCGTCACGTTTTATCGTTAGCGGTAATACTTATATTACCATTGTAGTTGATTAGACAAAGAAATTATGTGAGAAAGAATAATTATCCGAAGCGCTGCTCTGAAATGGATGCACAATTTGAGAGGAATTCGCGAGAGCAGCAAATCATGCGAGGAACTCTCAGATGGACACGCGCCTTAACTCTTTATAAAATCTGTTGTTCGAAATTCTAGTTGAACGCGTTACGCATGTGGAAGATGCAATTATTAGATACGAATCATATCCTTGTAAGATTTGCAAGCGAAGAGGTAGCAACGCTTCAAGCAAACGAACCGAACGCACAACCTGCTCTTTTGGTAGTTTACGACATGGTAACAGCTAAGATATTGGCTGCATATGATAACGCGTCTACACAGTTGTTGACGCAATTTGAGAATTTTAGCGATTTCTTCAGAAATGCTAGAATGAGTACAGACTGTCAATACATGTGTTCACCATCTAATAATATATACGCAAGGTATAGCAACGTACTAGTAGCGAATAAATTAGTTGAAAATTTCAACCTGTTTACACCGTTTTGGATGTATAAATCGTCATACTTTATTGAGTCATTTCCAATTTAATCTTTTGCTTTGTTGCAGATTATTACAGCAAAGATTCAAACAAACGATAGTGAGTGCTAGATATGGCGGTGTTACGGAAGCTACAAAAAGACTACTTGCTCAATTACCGATATGCGCACAGTCTTACTCTAGTTCTCCGTACCTAGATTTATCATTATTTTGTTACGACGATAAATGGGTATCGATGATGGAGCGACCTAAAGCTTGCGGAGAACATCCTATACGGTATCAATTTTGAACTTTCTACAGTATCAAAATTAAGATTTCACAATAGTATTACAATTATAAATTATAGATGTCGAATGTGCTTATTGTGATCGCTCATTTGAGAAGCGTGCCCATAAGTAACCTGTGTGTTCGCTAAACTGTTAGATAATGTTCACACGTATTTGTTACACAGATTTTACGCTCGCGATTCTGGTCTTTTGAAGTTTCGAATGTACGCGGGAATGTTGGGCCGTACAACACCAACAGCTGCAAGGCGATTAGTTGCATTTACGTTTCATCCAACGGACCCGTTTGCTATTTCCGTTCAGCGAACAAACGCTGAATACATCGTCAGTTTTCATGTCAGACATGTTTAACGTCGTATCGAAGCTTGTAAAATTCGATGATAATCTATACATACAAGTATAGTATCATTCGCTTCGATTATACCCTGTTTTTCTATTCCAATGAATTCAAACGATCTCGTACCACAGTATCGATCAAATTTCCTTGAAAAAGAAACTGTTGTATATTTCGTATAAATTAATGTAAATATTCCAGAAATATTTTTATTGTCGTCAACTTTACAAAAACTATTATAATTGATCGAATTTACGATGCCCGTTATCACTCTTCAAATTGTCAACATTAAATATTAAAAATCGTTACGTACATTAATTAGATTAAGAAATTATTCGTCTCGTGAAACAATTTAATAGGTTAATAGCTGAATTCACCTCAACATTTGATTACGTTTAGTCCATTACACGTTAGATAGTAACGATCGAAAAGAGAGCTGTCCTGCTATACTGTGATGTTCTACGGTTACTACGGTATTATCGATAGTTGATCCGTTCACATTACACAACTAATGTTAATGTTCATCAGATCTTATCTTCGAAATATATAAATTTGTATATACATATATTACATATTTAGATAGCGGTTGTTTATACCAATGCGTATTTTTAGAGAAAGATAGAGATAATGAAAATGGTACTTTGAACAGTACCACGTGTATTATCATGTATTTTGTTGATACATGTGTACATATTTTGTATATACCTAAAACGTAACCTATAATTTGTATACATTTGCATATTTAGATATATAAAAAAAAAACTTAAAAATAGGCACAATTCAATAAAATTTTTAAAATTTATCCAACAATTGAATAATTTCAGTTTTAGGGTGAGAGGAATGAAAGAGCTTTGTAAATTTATATCTAAAGTTTGATAACTAAAGTAATGAACTAAGTAATAAATACATGTATGCTACTTGTTCGGAAAATAAGGAGTTATGTCAAGAAGTCGCAAGAAACAGTATCGGAATTGAATGAATGAATAAAACAGTATGAAATTTTGCAACATCCACCCGATTTATCGCCGATAGATTTTCATTTTTTCTTTAAACAGCCATGCAACTCTCTACGGAATAAATATACACTTCGTTTACGAAAATAGTATTAAAATTTCCATTATCGAATTTATTCATGCAGAATACGGCATTTTAAAAATGGCATTAATGCATTAAAAAAAATATGAAGTTTATAATAATTAGCTGAATTTCATCCTGCTCAACTTGACGAAACAATTTCCTACAAACATATGCATTCGAAACATATCTCAATGTGCACTGAGCATCGTTCGCAAATACGCCGGATGATGTGGTCGAGAATCCTATGAAGCTATGTACAAGTATAGCCATAGTAATCCAAGGCGAGGGCAATCGGCTTAGATGTAAGCCGTTTTATCGCCATCATTTTAATGCTCATCCAGGTCCGCGCAGTTGCTTTAGAAAGAGAATTGGAGATGATCGAGAAAAAAAAACAAATACAATTCGAGATAAAAATTTATCCGAATAAGAATACATACGAAATTTTTACATGAATTCATAGGAAAAATAATCGATTTGACGTTAAAATTAAAATATTAAAATTAAAAAAATTATGTTATTTTATTATGAGTTGTTACTCCGGGAATTTAAGTTAAACGTGCCGCGTCACATGACGCATCATATGCTGAACTGGCTGAACTGACTTGAACGAACGTTACCATAGACGTAAGAATAACGGATATGATAGGCGTAGGTAGTCCTCACGCGACAAGAAGGCAGCTTTATGTTTACATTCCTTCTCTTATTGACTGTCCCATTGCCGCAGCTAGTAATAGGGAGAATGTAAACACATAGGTATTTCTGTAGTACATACATGCAAACACGTGTACATATTATGTATTAATTGCCATTAATTGTCATTAATGTGCCTAAATTTATGAACTATCGGCTATGCTGGGCGCTACATCAAAATGGCAAGGGGATTAGGTTAGAATAGGACTTAGACCTTTCCAAACTCTAGTCCTAGACGGAAAGCCCATATGTAATTGATATTAGCTAAACTTGATTGCCCAACACCATTCGGAGATGCACAATGTAGAATCATGCGGTATGTGCACGTAATGCACTTTATCTTTATTTTTTTGTACATACATAGATACATATGTCATTAGACTTAGTTTTTAAACGATCGCGTATTGATAAGTAACGTAATAATAAGCATTAAATATTTTTCGACAGTTTGAATAGTTCAAGCACATAAGTTAATATTTTTTAATCTACCTACGGATATACATATAGTGTGCATGTTGTACATGCATTTGACACGTAGCATACGTTGTGTATGATCATTTTTTAATAGGTTGGTATGCCATCTGTTGGTTACGTTATTGAAGGTTAAAAAGATTCCAAATGCACGTACACACGTGTTAATGTACAATACATACATATATAACGTGTCGGACTTGGAACCCTTGGAAATATTGGAACTGCTTGGGACGCTTGTAAAAATCGAGCGAAGAAGCCATGATGAATCGCGTGTACATTTTCAATGTGTATGTAGTTTGAAAGATACGAAGGTATATAAATTTAGTTGTGTTTTTCTAATACTGCTACTTTAAAAATTGCAGTTTTGTGATTTAAACGTGTAGAGTGTAGATATACAATTTGCATAAGCATCTTGCATTTGTGCATCCATATGTACACGGAGAAAGAGGACTACATAACATAGCCACAAGAAGCCTCTAATGTTCGATGATTCGTATTTGTAGTCACGGCGACTAAGTAGCTAATATTGTGACGGAAGGATTCATTGTTTAAACCTGTAAGTCAATAGCATTCTAATTTTATTGTTTTCCTATTAACAACATTCAATTTATTTTCACGATATTTTCCTTAATTCTCCAACGTACACTCATTTTACCGAGTTGTGTGTACCTTTTGTATCGATACATTCATATATATAACTACTATAAATATTTTCATAACTATATACATATGTGAAAATAGGATAAGTACTAATTTATAAATTAATCACATGTTTATGTACATAATATTTCATCGAATTTGCGAAACGAAAACTTTATGAATTTCAGAAATTATTTATTATCATTGTTTTATGAAAATGCTAATGGTATGATAAAACACAATAACATATTTAACATGTTTTTCCTTGTTTTGTTACAGTGTCGTAAAGATGAAACCATGTTTGCATATTTTATGGGAACATAAAAAGTAACTTATGTTTAATATATTTGAATCGAGTTATGGAATTTATTACGTCAACTCAATCTGTACATATAAATATTTCAAAGTGATCGAGAGTCTTTTACCTAGTTACGATAAGGATAGCATATTCTGTATATTCTTTAATTTTTATATCTAAAACAGAACAAGCATTTGCAACGATCGCCTAATAGTTATGAGAATGACTGACGATAAAATGAAGGGAAATTACAACGTTAGTAGTATAGAAATGGAACAAAAAAAACATTATCTGCCTTGGAGTCCACTGGAACGGAACAGATTCGCAAGAAAACATACATATGTATCGTGCAGCAAATCTGTACCACGTAGGAATAAACATTTTGTTCGATATAATATGAGTAGATCGCTAAATTCTGATAAAAATGTGTGCGGATCTAGTCCAGAGAACAGTTCTTTCGAAGAGGACAAACGTATGTCCAGATCCTCCAAAATAATGAAAGCTTTAAATTTTCACACGAATCTGTCGCATTATGGAAAAACAAAAATAAAGAAATCACTAAATTTTAATTTGACTCCAAGCCCGAAAAGATTTTCTTGTGCGAAGAAATGTACACAACAAGCTTCGAGGTCGAGTTCTTTGTCTGCTTCGAACAAGCTTTCCGACTTGGTTAAAGACCCAGACGACTGTGCAAATAATAGCTTTGCGCCGAGTTCGTCCGATTCCATTGATGAAAATCAAAATGAAACACCACTGCGACGACGCGCAATAGAACGAGAAACCTTACACTATTCTACACCCAATGCGAAGTCGAATACAAAATCTTTGTTTTCTGTCAATTCTACGCCATTATTACGTGGACGGCTGAAAGAAACTATCTCTGATATTGTTCACGTTAACGGAACGACACCTGTTTCGCAGACATCGAAATGTGTTCAAGGCAATTCGAAACGTTTCGATAGTTCTATGACGAATACGTCGAGAAATTTATTTCACGAATTTCACGAGGATGACGACGACGATAGACCTCAAACACCTGAAAATGTAATTACTATAATCCCCGACAGTATGAGCGCTATCAAAAGAAGTCATAAAAAGGTCAGTCTAACTTCTGTGAACTGTAACATTTACGTTTCGCTTCAGATTATTCTTTCAATTTGCTCGTTTATTTCGAAACCTTTTTAATTTGACAATTTCTCATGTAGGAAAAATCATCAAGACGAAGTGGATATTGTGTAATGCAACTTACAAACAGTTCTCCAGATTCAAGCAAACCGCATATGGAACGATTATCGCTGGATCATTCCGAAAATGATATTTCAGATACTGGTTCGTTGTTCGACTATACGGAAGAATCAAAATTTGGAGAAGAGTCGAGTCGCATAACGAACTGCGACATCATCGTTCCTTTGACTAACTTTCATGAACGCGATGTCAAAGAAACAACGTCGCATGAAAGCGCAAAAAATATTTCAGAAACTGTGGTACCAGAGGTAACGGCAGATGCTGTTTTAGAATCTGATACGTCGGTTACTTCACAGAATAGTATACATTTTTTACGAAAGGATGCCGACCATTTTATTAAAAGATCTTACAAAAAGAGTAAAGAAACAAATCAAACGAAATTATATGGTATAAAAATTCCACAACATAAAGTGGAAACAGTCAAGGGGGAAAATGTAACCTATAGAGAAACTATCACCAAACCGAATGTAGACATTGTAGAGGATAAATTAGTATTTACGGAAGAAAGTTGTTCTGAGATATCGGAACGAGCATGCACTCCCGAAAAAGTGAATTCTAGTAGATTGTTACTCTCACAATTTAGTTCCGTGAAAAAATCGCATAAGAAAGATAAGCATGCCAACATACTGTCTGGTTTTCAAAAACGGCAAGAGTATTTTAACGAAGAAATGGACTCTGCTAGATACAGTAAAACTCCAGAATCGGACGTTGACGTCAATGTTGACGTTGACGTTGGCGTTGGCGTTGGCGTTGGCGTTGGCGTTGACGTTGACGTTGACGTTGACGTTGACGTTGACGTTGACGTTGACGTTGATGTTGGAGTACAAGAAGTGGCAAATCTTACCGATTCTAGTTGTTCGTTGGACGTATCCTCGGATAAGTTGTCTCCGAGTAAAAGAAAAATTCCATTGGACGAATTCTTGGAACACGATACCAGCGTGTCGTGCGATTCAGAATTGCAAGACTACGACATATTTCAAAAGGAATTTCAAATTTTCACTCCACTGAAAAGAAAACGGTCATTAATCGCTTCGAATTCCAAAGGGTATTCGCATTTCTACGATTTACCGTCTGGCAAAGATAAATATTCCGAGGCAGACCTCGCAAACGTCAACTTATCGAGATGTTTAACACCGATTCTAAACATTCGAGAGCATTGCGAGCCATCGACCGAACGCCAATCGATAGCCACAAACTCTAACGAATCCGAGAGATTGGAGGCACAAGATCATGATCCGAACGATAGAACTGGCAGGTCGACACCTAAAAACATGTCAACCGCAGAATTGTATCTGAATTTAGATTCCATAAAGAAATCTCACAGAAAGAATAAACGTGGCAGCAATTCGCGAAAACTGAGTTTTAATCCGATTGAAAATAGTGCAGTTGAGAAAGGGAATTGGCAGAATTTATCGACCGAGATCGGAAACGATTCTTTTGAGAATTTTGAGCTTTCGCAATCGGACTGCGATGGAAACGGTATGCGCAACGATTCAACATCAAACGAAGACGATAATGTGCAAGGTTCGAGTTGTATTGGCGCAAGTAAACAGGCCGCGTCGAACACGAATGTCGCGGAGATCGCACTTCAAAATGTCACACCACCGAATTGTTTGAAAACGAAAAATTATATAAAATTGTTACAAGAAACGTCTATCAAACGATCACACAAAAAGATCCGAGATCAAAGAAAACACGAAGAATCCATCGAACCGAATCAGCTATCGGACGACGGATCTCTATTCGGGGATGAAGAGAAATTGCTTGACACTGAATCAACTTAAAAATAGTTATTTTTTCTCTGCGATACAAACGCTTACAAAGTTGACAAAAAAGGTAATTGATCAGCACAAAAAGTGTAATTCTCTCTGTCCTACTAATCAAATTTTCTCGCGTCTCATACACGGTCGAGTATAATACTTGCTTATATCCCAGCATGATTGCACGAAACGCATAACGGTTTTCGTGCAACCGTGACGGTCTGGACAACCCTGAAGGAGTTCTGTATCGTTTTAGCTATTAATTGAGTCATAGTGACCCAAAGAGACTCAACTTCGTCGCTTCTTTCTTCTTTTGAAATCATTTCATGTATATATATATATATATATATATATATATATGTTTTGATATCATTGCTAACTTTTCTGGCATTATTAGCAACAATAGCTACGATACTGTTCCAAAATGTATTATATTCGTCCGTATCGTCTCTTATATGTACACATACGCATATACGTACATCTATCGACGTATATGCTACCGTTTTCTCTTTCCGAAATCATGTAAACAAATCTTTTGCACATAATAACTGTGTACTATTAGTTATTCTATAATACAAAATACGATATAGCAAACCAGATCTCTGTTATACTATACGATAGAACATTCTATTATTCTTTGAGAATTTTCAGCAAATTTCAGAAAATACTAGACTGTGAAGGAACAATTGAATAAGTATATAATAATAGAGGCAGGGAGGGAGAGAACAAACTGAACAATAATTTGAACTCTTTAACGTTTTAAATAATTTTCCTCTTTTTTCTTGTTATTCTTGCGCAAAGTTTGCTTCAATTATTAATACGTCGGGTAATTACGTTTGGTGGTGGAAACAGCGTAAAGGCGACGATAGTCATAAAGCTAAAGGAAAATTTGTAAAATATCTCGCATATTCGATTTATCCAATATATAAATCATTTATATGTAGAAATACTCATATTTGAAATCTTAGGGACTGGTATTATAAGGGTTCCCGGAATTAGCATTTCTGTTCATTTAAATGTATAGCATGTAACATTCGAACGATACAGTTTGCGAAAACTGAATTCTCCTCGATACATATTTGTCGAATGGTGCGTTTTAATTCGTAGCTCTACTAACTTGTCTTCCTGTATGCTAAGCGGTTCATGCATTTTCTATGTACAATTATATAAATGCGTTTATTGCGACAACAACAGTATTATACTGCAAATATATTCGATGCAGAATAGTAAAACACTATAGAAAAACGTAACTGATTTAGCAATATCACTTACAACTACAGCAACAGCACAGCAAATATTATTTTATCTAATCCTTACGTTGCACAGTTTTCAATAGATTTTCGTAATTATTGCAGTACGATACATTCAATTATTGTTGAAACTAATCCATCAATTTGTAGATTACATGAATATTTTATATACCCATAAGAGAATTATGGAAATAGGATCGTTGATCTTTTCTTTGCTTTCATAAAATCGTGTTAATCGAAATTTTATATTCTATTTTCCCTCTTGTTAGATGTTATTATCTTACAACTGCTTCCTCTTCGACAAAACTTAGATGTTAATACCTTGAGACGGAAATGTGCTTAACAGAATAATTTCAGTCAATTTGTAGATTCAAAGAAGATAAGAAAAATCGATAAATGTCAATTCTTAACCCTCCGCGGTTTAAAATGTTTCCACACTTTTATTTCAGAATTTGTCATAATTTAATCGTGCTTCCATTTGTAATTTCATAATCGAATTAAGAACAATTACTGGATTGAAATAGGACAGTAAAGGGTTAAAGTTTCATTTATCAGTTTCTCCAAGGTTCTCAATGTGTTAAACCCAGAAATATTGTACATGTACGAAGAAGTATGATCCAGTTCTCGAACCGATCAATGAAACGTATCTGATAATCAATTTGTTGGGATGCAGTGTGTATATTGAAAATTACTATTTGTAACATTTGAAATAAATTTATTGCTACAAAATGCGATACTAATATTATCACAATGTATAAAAAATAAAAAGCTAAAGAAAGGAGAAATAATTTCACAGCATTGTGGTCCGATTGTTACTGGTTACTGTAACCGATCGACGATCGCACGGTGAGAAACCATGACTTATGCGTCATCCTTGATGAGATAAAACAGTTTACGTAACATATTTGCAACTAGAGCTCAGATGCCTAACCATTCTTGAAATTTCCACTCAAGGCCGACACATCCATTGGTGTCCAGTGTATCCAATGGTGTCAGAGATTCTACTCGAAATCTGCTCTAAGTGATGAAAAGGAGACCTCACAAATAGGATTGGATGATTCCAATAGATTTCTAATGAAAATTCATTAGCATCATCCAATCCCACTTTTGACGGGTAATTCTCTCACTCCTGCTTTCTTGGAAGAAAGTCGTAAAGCGGTCGGGCATCTGAGCGCTCTGTTTGAAACATCGGTGTGTCACTCTTTCGAAATTGCAGATATGTGTAGTAATAGTAATAGTAATGGGCCCCTGCTCCAGCACACTTCCAGGCTGCAGCTTGATCCTTTAGCGAGGGTCGATATAGCAATTTTCTTTGCTCTGATTGAGAATTCACTGCTGAGTCAGGATCCACTGCGGATTGGATATGCATAATAAAATGATAGGGATGTGCACGCCAGCTTAAAGAGTAAGGAAAACGTACAGGAGCCCGTTACTGTATATACGTAGAAACTAGCATAACATATCCGACGTCACCTAGACGATTTTATCTTTGTCAAAAAAAAAAAATTATCTGAAAATGTCTCTATAACATATGTACAAACATCTACGTATCTACATTCTATGCGCTCATATATGTAGTGAATTCAGTATTTCGACGTTGATGGCGCTAACAAGCAAATTCTCGCAATAACTGATTCTTGCACTTGTACTTGTCACTGTTTGCATTGTGTATTACAAGTATTACATACATACGCTTTGATACCCTATTGTACGAAATATATGTATGTAAATACTTGGATCAGAATTTTTTATGCTATTGGATATCGCAGTGAAAGAGAGCCTCTCATATCGGTTATTTTTCACGAACTCTGTGGTTGTTTCTTGTTTCTGTGATTGTTCGTTGGAGTGGATAAATATGTAACTTTGTATGTACAACTCATGCAGTCCCGTTGTCCGTCGAACTTCATATATGTAGATAGACCACAAGTTGTCGGAGTTAGGCATTTTTCGGCTTCAAGTTGCTCAACTTTCAATGAGAATATGTATGGAACTCGCTAGAGAGTCGTCTGCGACACAACAAACATGGCGTATCGTGGTGTAAAAGGTTCTGATCCGTTTGTTTCGAAAACATCTCGAAATGAACGTTTCGCGCAAATGTCGAAACAAGAACAAATTATTCAGCAGAAGAAACTAGAGATACAAGCTAAAATGCAAGAACAGAAAGCGAAAGAAGCTGTGGAAAATTTGAAAAAGGGCAATGCTCTAATTCCGAATTCAAGAACAATTAAAGCTAATACTGCCAAGTGAGTAGTCGTTTCATATTGTTTACGTGTTATGTTGTTCTAAAGAAACATTTTCGTAAAGTATATGTCTTGAAAACGATCATGTTTTCACAATTCCTCGCTTGTTATTATTTAATTAATTTCAATAAACTCAACCGACTCAACCAATTCAAATGTTAAACACATGTTGCGACATTAGTATCTACGAGAAAATGATTTTGCAAAACTTTACGTTATGCAAGCATTATTATCGTTAAAAACAACAGTCGGGAACATTTATTATTTTCAAATGTTATTGTGCTGTTTCCATAAAAAAAAAACGAGAAACCTGTTGCAGGAAACAAGAAGAGAAACCAGCTGTGTCGCAAACGATTAATCTATTTGCCAACGACGGCAGTTTTTTAGATCAATTTAAAAGAATCGCGAGTAACAAAGGAACAGCAAAAACGGAGTCGATATTTCCTTTGAAATCTGAAGAGAAAAGAGAAGACAAGTACTCGGAGACTATGCAGGATAAGGAAAGAAAGAAGACCAACGACACGAGCAGGGACTGTGAAAATAGGAGAGACCGTAAAAGAGTCGATTCTAGATGGGAAAGAAGCTCCGATAAGAGACATAGTTCGTCTTCGAGTCCATCTCCTACCAGACACGCGTCGTCGCAAAGCCCGGAAGCTCGACGTAATTTCAACCAATTACCTTCCAATGGACAGCGCATGCAACACAATCAGCAACAGTATTTTCCCAGAAATGGAAATTCGTCTCTCGTGCCTCCTCTTGCGTCTCAAACTGTGATGCATCTGACAAACGTACCTCCGCCTAATATAAGAAACATCATAACCAACATTCCTCCTCCAAACTTATCAAAAATGCTTCCTCCGAAGAATTTGGTCAACTCCTATCCTGGACTGGACGATCGATCTGGAGATAGTAGATTGCAGATGTCGTCGCATGCATTACACGCATCATCACACTCCTCTGTACAAACTATACACGCAAATACCAATGTGCCTCCGCCGAATATTCACATTTCTCGGACGATACAACCTAATCTACAAAATTTACCACCGCCTACACTTTCTACATCCGCATCGTTACTACCATCGTCGGCGGCGTCATCGTTATCGTCATCTTCTACATGTTCCAATTCGGGTTCATCTTCCTCCTCATCCACGTGTTCGACTTCATCATTATTACAACAACCACCACCACCACCACCTCCACCACCACCGCCACCACCACCGCCACCACCACCGTTACCACCGTCGTCATCGTCAACGGCGACTTCGTCAGCCTCGATATTATCAACGTCAGCAGCGGTATCGGGCACGCAACAGCATATAATCTCATGTGGGCGTCAATGCGGTGTACTACGTCCCTCTACTTTACAACCTACGAATCTACCACCTCCAAATATTCCTCCACCCAATCTGTTATCAACGTTGACGGAAATACCGCCAAATATGATGTCCATCCCACCTTCGCAGACGATCGTAGTCACCGTACCGAATGCATCCAATGTACCCAATATTCCTCCGCCAAATGTGATACCATCCGTGATGATGTCGACTCCACCACCTCCAGTTCATAATGTACCGTCGAGTATAAATTCAGTTCCCCCACCAAATTTAAATATTCCACCCCCGAACGTGCCACCACCACCCATTATGCAAAGTGCTGGTCCACCTCCTCCTTTAATGTCAACGAGCTATCCTCTTCCCAATCAAGTCGCTCAGGTACCTATGGGACCGCCTAATATTCAAGTGCCACCACCGGCAAGGCCATTGTCTGGTCTTCAAGCTACCGAACAGCTAGGTACGATATGTCGATTATCTTCTAGTAATCTAATTATTTATTTCGACGTATCGCCGCGTGTCGGTTTTTAATTAACGGGATTTTGATTTATTCGTCAACACTAGAATAATCTCTCTTGCTCGAACAATCAATAATAAAATCGTATAGAGCCATAGTTTGCGTATGATCGTATACGCTTATGACACACGCGCGATGCGCCGAATAATAGACACACGGGTAAACACGAGATATGCCAAAAGCATACTTGCGGAACATCTGTGTAGACATATATATACCGTTCTACGCCACAAAAACACACAAAAATTTAAGTATTAGCGTTGTTACGCGTGTCTGACAGAGGTTTCTAAGTGTGTCCCGTAGAGGCTGAGCAGCTGGCACGCATCGTCGCTGATTGTGGAGATGAAATCGAGCAGGAAGCGCGAGAGAAGAATGCACAAGATCCTAAATTATGGTAACTACTGTCCTCACTGGTCCCCGTCTCGTGTATTAACGCGTCGCGTTGCGAGCTTCCCTCCTATTAAAACCTGCATATTGTTTTTTCAACATTATTCCCCAAATTTACCTATTTCACACGACAGATATGTGTATATGTTTTATGCAACAGATACATATATCTCAATAGTAGTAGCAATAATAATAGTAATAGTAGGCTCAGTAGTGGTAGTGGTAGTGATAGTAGTAGTAGTAGTAGTAGTAGTAGTAGTCGTAGTAGTAGTAGTAGTCGTAGTAGTAGTAGTAGTAGTAGTAGTAGTAGTAGTAGTAGTAGTAGTAGTAGTAGTAGTAGAAGTAGTAGTAGCAATACTAATTAGCAATAGTGATAGCAGTAACAGTAGCAATAACAGCACAAATAGTGTCTAGATCAACAATACGGATAAACGTAAATTTTATTAAATTTGTAATAACGAAATTTTTTTTGCCCTCTGAACCAAACTACGTCAATTGATTTGCTCGAAAAATGTTTTTCATGCGGTTAACATCTCTTGGAATTTAATTCCAATCGAACCGCTATCCTTTTGCTTCGTTACAAGTAATAGGAATCTTTCTCGTATTATATTTTCTTGCTTGTACCACTTTTCTTCGTTTCTCTCTTTCAATTCCTCTCCTTATAGAAAGGAATATAATTTAGGAGAACACGTTACTTGCCAGAGTCTTAAGTACTGTTTTAATCAAGGTTTCTGCACCAAAAGCAAAGTGCAGCGTACCTGCAGTACAGGGGCTTAGTGGCCAAGTTTCGTGCTGAAAAGTCGACCAAGGAACAGAAAGACAGCGGTGCTGAACCGTATTGTCCGGAAGAAGCGCTCAGCGATAACGACGACAGCGAACATATTCATGCGAACAAACATGTTTTCTCGATGCAAGGTGAGTGTGACATCGGTCTATTCTTCTGTACACAAGTTAGGAGATTGCAAATAGAAAATAGTAAGGATTGAAAACAGACAAAGGATTTAATGGTAATTCTATAGATCGATCAAAGGAGGAGAACAAAGAAGAACGTAAACGGAAAAGACGTAGTCGTTGGGGTGACCCGGACAATAAAGTGTCGATAGCGGAAATCAACACATTATCTGTGCAGAAACAAAACAGTGGGGGTCTTTCGCAACCAGGTATTGCGATTCCTGGACAAATCGGGCAACCAGCTGTGATAATACCATCGTCAAAGATGCAACATGCCAAAGCTAAAAATCCCATGTTAACCAAAATTTCAAGAAACGATCCAGCTTTGATACAGTACGCTCGGCAAACATTCGGCACGTTGGATCTCACCGAGGAACAATGGAAAAAAGCGGAGGATCATTATAAGGTCAGCGGGCACGATTAACTATCAAGCTTACGATTAATCATAGAATTAATTCAGCATTGTTCATAAAAAGAATCACCGTTGAATCCGCCGTGACGACTGTTTCTCTGGTTTAGATAAATCTGCTCTATCAAAATTTGTTGAGAAAAAGGGAAGAATTAAAACGTTTGGAGGCACAGGGGAAGCATAAATACGAATACGATAGCGACGAAGAAACCGAAGGTGGCACTTGGGAACATAAACTTAGATCCGCCGAAATGGAAGCCACTCAAATGTGGGCGGAAGAACTGACGGCCCAAGCGGAAGGAAAACATCATATCGGTGACTTTTTACCGCCGGACGAACTTAAGAAATTCTTGGAACAATACAACGCGGTCAAGCAAGGAAAAGAACCTGATCTTAGCGACTATAAAGAGTACAAGCTGAAAGAAGATAATATAGGTATAGAATCTGTAATAACTTTTGTTGAAACTTTCCGAATATCTTTTAATCGTTAAACATGATCTTCTAAATCATCCAAAACGAGACAGACCTTCGTCGAAAAGTTTACGATTCAAAGTTTATAAAATTCTCTTTGAAGACAATGTTTTCGTTTCGCACAGGATTTCAGATGTTGCAGAAACTAGGTTGGAGTGAGGGGCAAGGCTTGGGTAGCGAGGGCAATGGTCGTATCGAACCTGTCAATAAGTAAGCATTTTATACTTTCACGTTCTATAATATCACACGCATAATTTATCCTTTTTTTTTCTGCCCTTGATATCGCTATCGATACGGTAGTATCGTACATGAGATTTATCTCTTCGAAATGAAAATAATCGTTGTATCCGTATAGGGCCACTAATCGATTCGATAGTGCTGGCTTAGGATCGGAAAGACCGGACGGTGTATCCAGAGACGACGACGAGTTCGATGCCTATAGAAAACGAATGATGCTGGCTTACAGATTTAGGCCTAATCCTTTGGTAACCATTTTTCATACGCAAATGTTTTTTTTTTCTTTTTTTTTTGTATCGTTGAAAATACAAAGTCTGACTTTCTAAACTCAAAATGATGAAATTTGCTTTTTCTTCTCTTTCCAGAATAATCCCCGGAGACCGTATTACTGAAAATACTGGTATCGGCGGATTGTATTTATGGCATTACATGCATATAAATTTTCTATTTAGTTGAACAATAAACCATCATTATTTTGTATATTGAAAACTGTGAAAGCGTCCAGAATTACGCTTAAATCGTGCAGTTGCTCGATCAATAATATAGGGCATATACGTATAATTCAATAAATGGAACCTTAAGCTTCATTTTCTTTCGTACAATGATGTGTACGATGTATATGTACAATTCGCTGTGTACATATACGCATACTACCATGTGTATATCCATTTGTATACGTATAATACGAACATACATATGTATAATACACAACATACGTACAAATCGCACGACATTTACCACAGTTCATAATGTACACTTGTTTAAAATGGATGGTAAAACATCCAGATTTATTCATGGTAATATTGATTGAGCAAACTAATTTGCCCTAATATACGTTTGCGAATGACGTTTTTGAAGTATAAATCTAATTTATATGTAATAGTCTCTGCATTTTAGTGTTCCGTTATTCGGTTTCTTAGTTGTTAATAAAATCGATTTTTATACGGGGAAAATTTCACTATTCAACCGTCCGCCCCGCCCGTCAAATCTCCCTCATGCTCCCCTAAAACGACGAATCCTTCCAGAAATTGCGGACACGTAACGCGATGCCATATACCCCGGGTATAATGTTTACTTTTAATTACATATAAAATTTGATTAAACGAAAGCCGACATAATGCGAAAACGACGGTTGCGTAATAACAGAGATAATCGTCCGTGTTAGATCTGGGTTTAAGCGCAATCGATTGGTGTATATCGAACAGAGTTTGCCTTTACGTTCGATCACCTTTCAAAATGATCAGGCATCGTAGTCGATGGACGATCGAATAGGTAGCCGTTTATTTCTATATCAGTTTTCATCGGGCATAGATGCTTTCTGTTTGCGAGACGCGAATTTCCTTCAGTCGAATATTCGATGAACATTCATTGTTCTTTCTCCGTTGTGTCGTTCTCAGCGATTTTGAAAATTTCTTCACGATACTTGGTTCCCATCCTTTCGCTTCGTATAAATCACCACGCTGATCAATTTGCATTTTCCAACGATTTTTCCGCTCCTATATTTGCTCCCGAGGTCATCTTTGGAATTTCAATGCATACTTAGAATCGATGCGGCCTAATAATCACGGAATGTACTTTACGTGGTAAGATTAAACACGTATACGTATATGTGGCAATAACGTATACATATACATATGTGTATGCGTATATAAACGTATACGTATACGGAACGCGTGTATCGAATAAATATTTAATATTTATAGACCGTGAGAAGCTCCGAAATCGAAATGTATACGAATGTTATACATAACATATTATATATAATATTCTAGCTAGGAACATTACGAACTCGCAACATTGTTACGAGCATTTACATGTAGAAAGTTAGTTCGGTAGGTAACAGTTTCGCTCGGCTCGACAGAGCAGGTATATATATATAATACATATACGTACATATGTACATATAAAAGAAAATATAATAGGCGAGAGAATAAGATGAGAAAAAATGTCTGTTTCTCTTTATATGTTTTCTACTATAAATGGAACGATAAGTGGAACAAGTGTTCTAATTGAAAATAAATTTTACGCAATATCGGCTCGCGCGTTACATTATCGATAAGTTTTTTCTTTTCCTTTTATAGATTTCGATCGGCGCGACCGTTTATCGAAATTGCTATTAACAAAATGAGGACAATCCGGTTCGATCGATCCATTTATTACTTGATTTATTTATCTATTACGAATGGCAACATATTGTTTTCTTTATATTCCTGGAACATTAGAGCGGAGCCAGTTAAAAAGTTTGAAACGTATCCGTCGCAGCTGACTGACCAAGATTTATGCGGTAGTACGGCTTACCGATTCTTAGATCTACGATTCGGGGCTATCCTACCTTTCTTTTCCGTCAAATTATTCCCGTTTGTTTCTCGACAACGCAACTCGTAATGTTGCTCGGGAAGAAAAGGAGAATAGAGGGAGTAGAGTGATTCGCGTAACGAAACAGAACGAAGCAGAACGAAACAGAACAGATTGAAACGGATCGAATCGGATTTCAGATCAGATCACCGCTTTGCACGGGGAAAGGACGGAAAGAGTCCAGAATGGTCGTCGGCCGATCAGTGGGGAGAGACTCCTTCAACGTGGACGCGTGTATACGTGAAAGTAACTCTTACAGTTTGAGCTGGAATCGTATACTTGTCAGTGTTTTATGGTGTCGGTGATCCCGTCGTTCACCACAAAGTTGAGGTACGGTACTCGTTCCCGTACATCGTTCCACACTTTGTCAGCATAGGGACAATCGCGAGAAAGAGAGAGAGAGAGAGAGAGAGAGAGGGAGAGAGAGAGAGAGAGAGAAAGAGAGAGAGACAGTTCAACCCAAGGAACTGAATCGAGTAGGGGTGATGGAATCGTGAGTATGGCACGAGCTTCGGTCTTCTCTGATCCGCACCGATACAGTACTATCGAATATACATAACGTAAAGATCAGGGATCGAGCTCCGCTCGGAACCAGAGCCTTCAGATAGACGTACGTCTCACGCACACGGGACTGTTCCACAGCGCGGGCGCGCGTTTCCGCGTGTCTCTGTGTTTGTTCGTGTTTGTCTTCATCTTCGTCTTCGTCTTCGATTTCGTCTTCATCTTCGTCTTCGTGTTCGTCTTCATCCACGTCTTCGTCCTACGAATTACGTATATGCGAGTGTCCGTTGAACGGTGAATCGATCGGCAAATAATATTTTCGATGGTTTTAATCGCTAAAGTATAACATGGAAATTTGAACGATCGATTTCCGTTTTTCACAGAATTTATCATCCGTTTGAAAACTATATGTTGCATCAAGTTCCTCACCGGTCCTAAACTCGTTACTACGGAAACTCGATTCGACTCGTCGGACTGCACAGTGTCCGAAGAAGAGAAATGCACGTGTCATGTTTCGATCGATCCATCGCTTTGCCTAATTCGATCCATTGAAATTGTACAGCAGCAACGATATTACCGAACGAGGATAATTCTAACGCTGCGGCGTTTGTCAGCATTGGATGGTGTTCGTCGGCGTTGTCTCGGTCGTTGAGGACGATTCGAAACGGTGCGTTCGATGCATCTACGCGAACAATTAGCAGAAAACGAGAAAGCTGAGAACCATCGAAATCGAACGAGAATTTGTACATACGTTCGTTGAAGAGAAGAAACCGAGGGAACGGAGAGTCGCGTGTATCCTTGGACCATATGAATTCAACTTCGATTCATGAAATACCGAATAAGGGAAGGGCATTGAAGCAAAAACATCGTCGTCAGCTGAAAATCATTAGAGTCGTGTAAAGGCTTTCCAAAAGAGAAGAAACAGGTGAAAATCGGTTGCTCGCGCTGTCATTACGCGTATTTACAGTTTTCATTGCGTGCGCGTACGAATGCGCGCGTCCGTTCGCGAGTGTATCGTGGTTCGTGGTGTGCGTGCGTGCGTGCGTGCGTGCGTGCGTGCGTTTGCGCGAGCGTGCGCGCGTGTCTAATTTGTGATCGTCGAATCTTTCTTTTGAATCTTCCACGTTCGATAAAACGATCGTACCAGATAATCCGCATCCGCAGCCGCGCGCAACGAAAGAGAGTTGGGATAATTTGTTCGACTTGGTGCGCTTTTCTCTGCTTCGCGTGTATCCCGATGCTAAATGGATATTCCGGCGAGGAACGGAAGAGGAACTCGTTGCGCGTGAACAGCTAATCGAATCTAACCCGAAGCGATCCGCATCGGAGCATCGGAGCATCGGAAGCGTCGGTACGTGTTATCAAGGTCGCGCGCATTTCTTCTCCTCTTTTCTACGCTATCGCCCCTTCTCTTCCTTTCCCGACTTTTTCTTCTTGTTATTCGTCTATTTCTTCTCTGTCTTCTTCTTTATTTTCAACAGCGTCGTTATTCCGACCTTTTCACCATCTGCTTCCTTGTCTGTCGTATCCTGTTTATTCTTCTTCTCTTCGAGTTTTCGATTATGAGAGAAGCCGTAATCATTGCCACGTGCCTGTTGGGTTTCGTGTTCGCTGGAAGTCCTAGATTGCCCAGGACCTCTGCCGACGAGCGTAACATCCGTAATGTCAGCAACAATGGAAACAACGTCACTGGAAACACGGTGCCCGCACCGGCTCGAAATCCTCAGCGCAACAGGTAAGCTGGAAGGAACAAATAGTTGCTCCCACCAACGATCGAGTTTCGAAATGACCCATCTATCGATACGATACACGAAGCGTGTGCCCGTACAATTGTAACAGAGTACAACGATATCGTGGTATCCTCGTACGTACCTACCATATGTTTCGCTACCGCTACCGCGATATACATATGTATATCGTCGTCGAACGATCGGTTGGTTGTATTCGATTCGGAAACGTATTTTAACGTTAACGGTTGGATCGTCGCGTCGGGGTTCGTCGGGATCGATATTACGCACGTACGTTCTACGTCCGAACGAGAGTGTGTCGCGAATCCGGTGATCGCATTATAATTGCAAAAAACTCAAGCAAGCATTTCCGCTATTGTAGGGAACAGGTTTGTACTCTCCTTTTTCTCGCTTTCTCTTTTCATCCTCTCGATTCGCATGGTATGTAGCAACGTACACCTACAATATACTACTATAAATCCTCTGGTGTCGCGCGCGGTTCCCTTATGTTGTTGATACTGTCATACCGTTGGCTTACGTTAGCTCTTTCCTTACATAACTTGACAAAACATCGAAACAAGTTGGCTTTTTAATAGGAGCGAACTTTCCGTAGACAGCATTTAACACTTGCCGCGGCGTATTTCTACGAGCGACGTAATCGAATTTTACAAAATCCCCAGGCAAACGCGACGCGCCGTCTCTTCTCGTATCGCGATTTGTGTCGGTTCATTCGTTTTCTTCTTCTTTCTTCCCTTTTCTTTCTTTCTTTCTTTTCTTCTTTTTTCTATTTTCCATCGTCTTTCACCATTTTCCCAAATATAAATACGTTCGATACAGGTGTATGCACGTACCGTGCAACATCTCGACAATAAAAACATGTCCTCGCAGGTAGAACCTCCGTACGGAGCACGCGAGCATGTTGCGAAGAGAAACTTTTTATAGATGTTCGATTCGCGTCGTTGGACGAAGATATTGTACATAAACGAGCAATGAAAAAAACATTTCGCTGATATTTTTCACGTAATTCGAACAAACAGAATTTGACTTGAAAAAATAATTAGGTTCTCCCTCGATTAACGCGATCGAGTCGATCGTAATAATAAAGCTTGAGTAGTCGGCTTGAAATTCGAAGGACGCGCAGTCTCGATGAAACGGCTGTTACACGAATCGGTAATTTCCCGACGGATCTTACCGGTGTAGCATTCCACGATAGATGTTCGATCTCGTTTTTTCCGTTACATCGCGCTCTGCTCTCGTTCAATTACGCGATCAATTACACGATCTGTACAGCGCGCGCGCGCGCACATACGTATACGCGCGGTGGCCGATCGATCGAATTCCCTACGAATCGAAATGCTCTTTTATTTATTTATTATATTTTTATTCGTTGTTCTAGCACACTTTTCTTTCGGAAAAGAAATCGATATTATTTATATTTTGTTTGGATCGCGCTGTTCCTCGTCTCTACCGTTGCGATAGTCGTAGCGTCGATCTAATTCGAGCCGACGGGCCTCGATGGAACCTCCATCGTCGGATCCGGCCAACGATTTGTTCTTTTTCATCGGAAAAATTTCCAGATCCTTTCTCGTCCTCGATCGCGCACAGGCTACGTTTCTAACAATGAAAAATCAGACAAAGCTTATCTCGACCGCGCGAAAGCGTGGTCCGCGTTTTCTTTCGTCTCGAATTAATGTTCATTAAATTCCAGTTACGAGAATAATTTGTCTCTGCTTTCGCCCTCCCCCTCGCTCTCCTTTCTCCCGCCATCTCGTTCCTAGCACCCCACCCACCCCCTCCCCCGCCCCTTTCTCTTTCTCTCTCGTTCTTTCTCACGCGGCGCGTACCTTGCAAAAATGAAAGGGTTCAAGAACTTTTTCCTTTCACTTTATCCTCGCCTATGCACGTAGGTTATTTTCAGTTTTGTACTTTTCAATGGAATCGCGTTTACCATAATGCCGATAACGCTCGTAACGCGTACGCGGATAAGCGCGTGCACGCGGATGCGTGAAAAAACGTACCGCGATGTCCGTGATACATCGCAGACGACAATACGAACGAGCGTACGAAGGATCGCGGACCGCTTTCTCTGAAAACCGGCATTATCCAATATCCAGAGACGATATTTTCGTATACTCGCGTATTTTCGCGATAGAATGCTACGATAAATTGTCGCAGAATCGAGCGTTCCAACGAATCGTGAATCGAGACGATACAATATACGTGCCTATGTATCTCGTTGCCAGGGCTAATCGATATTAACCCGTCGTTACTTACAATTAGCTATGCTTTTCATTCAGCTTATCCACGGTCGTACACAACATTTGTCCCCGATATCGCTTAAATAACGTTCCATTTGTTCGTCTCTCGTCGGTTTTTCACGTTTCGAAGAGAATATTTCTCTATTTGTCGCGCTATCTCGAATTCGAAACGAATCGATGTTTAAAAAGGACCAAATTAATGGTTACGAGTGTGTTACCGCGCTGCGAAACCGAGCCGACAGGTTGTGCGATAGGCGCGCGCGCGCGCGCGCGAGTGCACGAGTACACCGCGCGTATACGCAACGATGCATGCGCGTACGTGTATTCGTTTAACACCGTTCGAAAGAAGGACACAAAGGGAACGGAAAGAGAACCGATTGGATCGCGAGGATAGAACGACATCGCTAGTGGGGTACTAGTTCTCCTTTGGTTACGTAACAAATCCGAGCTCCAGTTATGACAATACGATTGCACAAGCTCTACCAGATTCCTCGGAAATAATCGGGGCATACTCCGATCTACGAGTTCTATACATATTGTGTATGCATCGGAAATGTATCAGAATCGAGTTCGATAGGGCTCGAGGAAAATCGGAACCGACACGCGCACGCCATGATCGAACGTTCTATGTATATTCATACATTTATGTGTGTCTATCCGTGCATCTATAATATCTATATAATATCCACATGTATCTACGTACAATATCAAGATCAAAAGTTTCCTCTACGACGTAGAATTACGATTTCCTACAGGTTGCTTGAAATCTGGAAACGTTTTTAGGCTATGCCACAGTGGTAAGTCGTAACTGTCACTTTCGCCCTACGATTTCTTGTGTATCTTTCTGCAAACATTCTTCTAGATGTTTCCGGTCGCGGAATGTCGTTTGTTGTGCGCGCGAGCCTCGGATCGTTCCGCTTCCACGTTCTCGCTGCTGGAACGATTTCCCAGTCCTCTCGCCCTTTCTTCCCCCATTGCTATATTGCTATATATCTCGACAACGCAGAGTTCGTCCGACATTATTACCAACAGTATTGTCGCGAGTGTAACGTACTTGGAATAATTGTTCAAAGAACGATAATTACCGTCGATCACCGGGTAATTAGTCTGCAACAATTTCTGTACGTACGCGGTACACGGTGTGTACGTATACACGCCACCGTACTGTGCGCGTATCGCAGTAATTTGCCAATGTTATAATAATCAGCTTTTCCGATTCGAAAGGACCCTGGTAAATAGGTACGTGTACCGCTGACCTGTCCGCGAGCCGATTGCGTAAAATTCAAGGTACGCTTGCAGCTTACGCCGTAACGAGGGAAAGGATACCCGACAACTATCCAATCGGTTATCTTATTCTTGAGTCATAGACGAAGCTCTATTTCAGATATCATGGAATCGCGCAGGATCGCAGGATCGCAGAATCGCGTAATCGCATTTATACGAATCGGCTGTGTTTTCTCGGAACGGAACGAGGAAGAATCTTTCTTCCGCAACATGCTTTCCCACTCGTGGATCGTCGTTTCGTGATCGATATACTGCTTTCAGGGAGCAATACCTCTTCAACGTTTTCGAGGTTATAGTTTCGACGCTAGAGTCGAAATTACAACGAATCGAAAATTTGGACAAAGCCGTGGAGCATCTAATGAGAAGAGTAGAAGCTTTGGATTCGCGTGTAAACGACAACATCGATAAAACCGACGCCGTCATTACGAAGCTGCGAACATTGGATTTAAAACTGTTTAATCCTCAAGCAACCTATTTGCCAACCGATCATGCTGTCTATTCGGCTACAACGTCGAATAATAAAACCGTCGGTGAAACCAGAGGTGGTAAGTATACTTGTATCCGTAAATAGTGTAAATGGTAAATACTAAAATCTCCTGCGAGATCTCCTTAAAAGATCCTGCGTCTGCCCTTTTTTTCTTTTCTTTCTTTTCTTTCTTTTCTTTCTTTTCTTTCTTTTCTTTCTTTTCTTTTCTTTATTTCCTTCTCTCTGTTCTCTCGCATCTCGATCGAGATAACGAATAGACGCGATGCGATCCATCTCTGTTATACGGTATACATTTATCGAACGTCTACGCAAACCGAGCGAGTTTATTCGGTTTATTCGATGAATAAACTTTGACAGAACTTGAACGGAATTTGAGAAAGATGTTTCTGGCATTTCGTCGACGATACGTACGAAAGGAACGTGCTCGTGTTCGCGCTCGTCGAATTATACGCTCGCTCGTTCGCTGTCGTCGATCGTTGGTATTATTATACTCGTACAATATAATATAGTATACGTGCCGTATACCAGACCGTTTTATCGTTCGCATGTCTTCGATGGAACAGTTCGTACGACGCAAACGGTTCATCAGGACGGTTCAACATCCTCCGAAGCTCTTGGCGAGAAATTGTTGTCGCTCGATCAAAAGGTTTCCGATATCGATAATAAACTGGTCGACTTGAAAAATCAATTGGATAACAATCTTTTGCAAAACGACGATATAAATGCTGAAGCAAGCGAAAAGAAACCAGTTAGCATGAGCGTGATCGAAATCACGAAAGCGATGAGCAACGAAGTGATCAATCATATATCGATCGAAATAGATAATCTTCGGCAGACCACCGGTAGCATGGATAGAAAATTACAATTCCATATGAATTTGGTCTCCGAACAGTTGGAAGGCGTTTACAATATGATGACGGACGTGCACGATGCGATAATTGTCAGGGGAAATACGAACGATCAACGGATTTTCAACGTTACGGCAACGGCAACAACGGCAACAACGGCAACAACGGCAACAACAACGACAGCAACCGCAACGACAACCACGGAAACGCCGTCATCGAAGCAAAGTAAGATCGATCGACTCGTCGAACAGATGTATCCTATGTTGACCGTTTCCGAAAAGATGGACGAAGTTTGGAATGTCGTGGTAAGCCGACAAATCGATCATCGAAACGATCGAGATCCAGATTAGGCGCGCGGAATGCAATTTCGTTACGATACGTTTTTCTCTTTCATGCCTAGAAAACACCAAATTAAACGATAAGCACCGATAGACGCGTCAACGATGCGATCGTATTACGAACATTACCGAACATTAATCGCTTCGGAAGAACGCTTGTATCGTATAATTTTGTTGTCTTTTAGACCGACAGATTTTTCGTTCGAACATTTTTTACATGTTTCTTAATATTCCGTGTATCACGCACGATCTAATCTCGATGGTAAATACTCGGAGAATCGTGAGAATTTGTCTCGACTTTTCGAAATTGCGATCTCTTTTCCTTTTTCGTCTTTGCGCCCATGTCTCTTTGCGTGTTTGTCAGTACGTATTTCTCGCGAACGATAATCGATAGAGATCATAGTTGTTTCTATTTAAGCCGATCCGCCCGTTTGGTCGTATTTATCGAAACTGTAACGTCCGAACAGGTTGGTACGAAAAGTTCTGTAGACGACCTTTTACCAAAATCGGACGAACTGTTGACGCAAACTCAAAGACAAGAGAGAGCGATCAATGAAATTCACGCGGATTTACGTTCGAAAACGAACAAGATTATCGAAAACTTGGAAGGAGTGGAGAATAGACTGAGGAAGCAAGAAGACGACGTAGCTACTCTTGCTCAGCGTCCCATTCCGGCAGAACTTTTACTCGATCCTACGATCGACCGTCTCGTCGAATACGATTCGAGCAGGTTAGTTGCTCTTATTCTCGTCCGAATCCGAATCTTTCCCGTAGAAAAAAGAAAAGAAGCATACATATTATATATACATATAGTGTACGCGTGGCGCAACTTTCAAGTAATTCCAATAGATTTGTCCAATATTCTTTTCCGTTCTGTTCTTTATTTAGATACGTCGGAATGTCCGAAGATATTACACCGGAGACTACCATTCCACCGGTGACGCCAACCACCGTTGTTTCATCGGTGTCCATATCGACGTCCTCGTCGACTTCGTCCAACGTTATACCGTCCAATAATTTCAGCAACTCTACCAACAATATCGGTATTTCGAACGGTTCTTCGAATTCGATCGCATCTTCCGGGGTAACGATACCCGCATCGAATGCCCTACGATTTTCTACCAAAAATCGTGGCGTTATATTTCCAAGTGTGAAAAATAAACCGAGCCCTGCGAATTCGACGTTTGCCACGGACGCGTTTCTTAGTTACAAGGATGTTAAGGTAAACACTTTGCTGGAACGTGCGTTATTCGCGAACGCTCGTCTCGTTTTCGCTAATGTTATGTCGCGTGTCGCGATACAAGACTTTTACGACGAATTTGAAATCGAGTGGAACAGTCGAACGGTTCGCGGGTTACTCTCCAAACCACGGATACGTTGTTTCACGATTATTCCGTAGACACCGCGATCCGTATTAATTATTAATCGCGCGGCTAGAGCATATCGAACGACGATTCCCCTTCGGTAGGTCTAGAAAGTTGGCTGCGTCGATTGTCTCGGACGAACAAGCGCGAACGCGTGCAGTCTCCAACGATGTACCGGCATTCGTCGGATCGAGCGCGTTCGTGCATGATTCGGCGCAAGTTTAAACGACTCGTCGTTGAAATCGGTCACGCGCAACCAAACATGCCAGTACACGTGTACGCATACGCGTTTCTACATACATAGATGCGTACGTACACGCATACATGCCAAGCAACGCGACTCGGCGATCATACTCTCGACCATGTTACGCGTTCGGTGCAATCGCGACAGAATCACACAGAGCGCGCTTCTTCTTCTTTTTTTTCTTCTTTTTTTTTGTATTTCTCCTGAATATTTTGCGCCAAATTGCTTCTAGAGCTTCCGTAACAAATAGGTGCATCCATAATAAACATTTTGAAGTAAATACAAACGCCGACGTCGCGGGTCGCAGATCGCAGTTGCATCGGGTTCGCGAATCCGCGCTACTAGATTCGGTACGTAAGTACCTTTGGATCTAGACGTACCGGCCTGGTATATGTACATGCACGCACGTGTATACGTATACAGAGTAGATACGGATGTGTCGGCTAGGAAGGTGAACCTCGTGCTTGAAAATCGATTATGCAACGAACCGATTACCATTACGGACATTTCATTTAAACGTAGGCACGACCTATAGTTGCCCGTAATCGCGCGTCTCGACAACTTTTAACCGTGACGTGAAAGTCGCTACACTGGATTTACTCGTTTATCCAGCGCTTAAACGATCGCGTCGAATAATCGAAAATCATCGTATCCCGGTGTATCTTCGAGTCTCGTCGCGATCTCTTGTACTTTTCTTTTCAACCATCCCCCGTTCCATATGGGAAAATATTTCAAAGGATCTCGAAAAAAGCAACGCACGATTCGTCGTTCTCTACGTACTTGTCACACGGTTAGGTACTAGGTACGCGCGAGAGGGACACGTGGATAGCAGAAAAAGATGATGCTGGAGAAAGTAAAAGTTTCTTCCATAAGTCACGCGGAACAATCGTGCGTCGATCGTTTACCAACTGTCGCAAGTATCGAGTGTAAAGTAGGCGGGGGCACGGTTAAACGGTTTACCTGGTTCGCCAACGACAAGGATGCGTCGTTTTCTTCGTTCGTTGTGTACTTATCGAATGTTCCTATGACCGTAATGGCGACGTAATACCGAATATCTGAAAGTGGTCGAACAAACGACGTCGTAACGACGGAAACTGATTCGAGGACAGAAACAATATCGAACAACTACATTCTCCGTATATATTATACGTATAATTGTTGTAGGGTTACTCGTGCGTTGATTTGTTGAACGCAGGCATGAGAGACAACGGTGTCTACTATCTTCAAATACGTGGCACCACTTACTGGTTCCTGAAAGTTTTTTGCGAGCAAGATATTGCCGACGGGGGTTGGACGGTAAATACAAATTCCACGAATTTCTATACTTTCGAAGAATCTACGTGTGCTCATGGTTGCTCACTCGATTTTTATCCGTGTCTGGACAGGTTATTCAGAGAAGGGACGATTTTGGAGAGCCTAGAGAAAATTTCAATCGCGATTGGGCCGATTACAAGAACGGCTTTGGCGATCCGGCCAGAGAATTTTGGTTGGGCAACGAAAACATATATATGTTAACGAACAACGAAGATTACACGCTCAGAGTGGAACTCGAAGATTTCGAAGGCAATAAGAGGTAAGAAATATCGATGCGTCCGTCTGCTTCTCCTCCCTCCTTTTTCCTCTTTCTTTCGCTTTTCATTCGTTCCATAAGATTACGACGTTTGGACAATCTAAGTACATACGTGTACGCGTATATTACCAGGTACGCTCAGTATTCTCATTTTAAAATCTACTCCGAGGCGGAATATTACAAATTGGAAATCGATGGTTACGATGGAAACGCGGGCGATTCGTTGAACGATCCTTGGTACGGTTCGAACAATAGCCCATTTTCGACGTACAACAGGTAAATTCTATGTTATTTATTCTCGTTGCCGGATGGAATCACGGACACGGATCGTATTCTTATTCCAAACTATACTGCTTAATGCGTTCATCTGATTTCGCAGAGACAACGACAGGTCGTCTTTGAACTGCGCGTCCATGCTAAAAGGCGGCTGGTGGTGGAAATCGTGTGGACGCGGGTTGAACGGACTTTATTTGAACGATCCACAAGATCTGACTGCCCGGCAAGGTATGCCGAGGAAGAATTGTCATTCTCCTCTCTCTCTCTCTCTCTCTCTCTCTCTCTCTCTCTCTCTCTCTCTCTCCTTTTCTTTTTTTCTCGTTCGCTTCAGATGTTTCGTCTGCGGCAGCGTAGTCGCAAATTTGATCTTTTCATTATTTATTCCTTCCTGACATTTTCTTCGAAGTTCCTTGTTACATTGTTAGTAATAAAAGCATTCTCCTTGTTTATTGAATCAGGTATCGTGTGGTTTCGTTGGAGAGGTTGGGATTATACGTTGAAACGGGCCACGATGATGATCAAACCTAAAGGACCTTCGGTGCCAGTATAGAGTAACAAACGATAGTTAGAAAAAGCAAATATATCGTAAACAAATTTGAGGAATTGCGTTTCTTATGCCGTTTCATGTAAGCGACATGATTCGTTGTAATTACCAAATACGTAAACATTCCGTATACATCGAGCAACTTTTCTCTCTCTGTTCCAACACAATTTCTAACTCTGTCACACACAATTTCATTTCGAATCCCTTAATGCTAGAAATACATGCGCGCATATGTGTATTTATTTTCGTTGAATTACCGGTGAATTCGCCGAAATAAATCTTAGCAAAGGTAAATAAACGCGTGTATTCATTATTTCGTTATTTCGTATTCATTATTATGTCTCTATGAAACGAGTGACCGTATCGAACGAAACGCCACCCTTTTCTTTCTTTTCACTTTTTCATAGCATCGTGTTTACGCAAACTCGAGTAAATTGCCATGCATGATAACAGTCGTTGAAATCGATGGTAAACGAAGATGCGAACGACAGTGTAGTTGAAAATTGTAAAAAGAGAATTACCTATTGAAAGACATTTACCTCAATAAACGAAAAGAATAATTGAAAAATGAGTATTATTATTTTTTTCAACTTTCAACAAATGGTTTGTCTATCCAGTAAGTAATTGAAATTTATAACAAAAAGATCCGACAACAAAGTGGACTAAATTTTTTCATTTCGATCGTTATCACTTTATGTAGAAACAAAACTGAGAGTATAACAGCTAAGCAAACTGTGTACATAAACTGGTCATAAAGAAATTTTAGACTCTTATTTTAGCGATTGCGAGTTTTATTTTTTTCTTTTTTTTTTTTTGAATCTCCCTATTGCGATTTCCCTAGCGGCAGTCACTACCGTCGGGGTTAAACACACACACACACACGCGCGCGCGCGTGGAATGTGTAACAATTAAACGTAACTTTATTAAAATAGGGAAACAATATATGAACGTATAACGCATGCTCGACGAGGAAAAGAAAGTAGACTAGTACTTTGCAAACGGCCAGATCTAATGTGCAGATACGATTCGTGGTCAACCATGCGTGTTCACGCCACGCGGTCCGAACTTGGAGAGAAGTTTTATGAGAGCTCTATGGGAGCGTTCACAACTCTTCTTTGCTTCGGGGGGAAGGAAAAACGGAAACGGCCGGTAACCCTCACACAGTGCAGAGCGTAACTCCCGTAGAACGCTAACGCTGCGAGTGGTCGCTTGTAGAACTACGTGTCTCTGCCATAGACTACGTATTCGCTACACCATCGTG